ATATTGCTACATTTGTTGCTTCGTCTTTGGCGATTTGATGATCTCGATTTAAACTATGATGAACGCGAAAAGTGAACTATTTGAAACGATTTGATTTTGGTGTTTTTTTTCATTTGTACATTCTATTTGGATTCGCTATAGAAAAGTGTCTTAATAACGAGAAACTTATAATTAATTCTCTATATTTTTAAATAACTTTGTTTCAATTTTTCTTTTCTTGTAAACAAGAAAAGTTTCGTTCGTCGTAAAGGATTAAATTTAATTCAATAATTAATTCTTAAAATTGTTCATCCTATTTAAATGAGCACAATTTAACTGGGAACGATAAATTTCGTTGTATTCGCCAATGGAATGAAGAACGAAATTTTGCAAATTTCTTCTACCAAAAAAAAAAAAAAAAAAAGAAAAAAAATGCAACTACTTAATCCATATACATATACTCGTTATCGTTGTGATCATAATATATCACAAAGAATTTAGACTTTCCTCGTATCGAATTCACGCGTGAAATTTCGTTGTTGTAAGAAAGAAAAAAAACAATTCGATAATTTTTTACTGATATGCTTGTACTCAGTCAAATTTACTGGATTTTTCTTCTTCTTCTTCTTCTTCCGTTTTATTCATTTCGTACAAATTATTTGGCACGTGACATTTTCATCGACAAACAATCGTTTCTTAGAATTGAAAAATGAATTCGTCGATCGGAAGAGTCCTTGGGTAGGGGGATGAGTAAGTGTGACACTTACATACACGAATCACGGATGAGAAGTAGCGAAAGGAAGCCGATCATTCGTGTGAGGACGAATCTAATCTACAATTACGGGTACGAGAGTCTTCGGAGATCACGAGTACGACGCTGAAAAATCATTATTATTAAGGCCGCTATTTCGTGTGTGCGCACGATTGTTTACACTTGTTTACACTTAAGGTATTTCTTGCTATCAGGGATCCTCTTGCACAATAACTAAAAATATTATCGAGAAGTGACGAGTTCACGAAACATTGTATTTATATGAGATTTATTTCTACGTAGTCGATCATGATATTATAAATTTGACGAAATTAATAAAAAGAAGATGTAATATATATATATATATGTATAATAATATTTGTAAAATTTCGCTAATAATAATGTTAGTTCAATTGTGCAAGACGGGTTTCTCCATTTCTCTTTATCTGAACGATTCTACCGAATCAAAAATTCATTTCTATCAGAGATAACACTTCTCTTTTACAATTCGCTTATCAAACAGTTTTTATAAAATTAAGAATTCACTGTTGGGAACTGGATTTTACGATCTCTTCCTCTTTTCAATAATTTTAACAATCATCTTATACGCTGTCGTTTCAAATTATTTCAGCAATAACGAAAAACATCATAGAATATTGATCTGATCAAATCATTGAACGAGGCAAATATATTTCTTCCACTATATCACGGATGGACAAATTAATTCACTTTATATCCAAGCTTAATTTTTTCTTCGAACTTTTAAAACATCTGAGAAAACAAAGACATTCGAGATTAATTAACGTTTAATATAAAATTAAACAATATAAAATTTAAGCTTGGATGGTCGATCCAGTTTGAATATAGCGAATTATATATAATTGAATACTCGTTTTTTTTTTCTCTCTCTCGGCTCGAATTAAATCGATCTTTGAATCGATCGTTTTCGAACCCCTTCGAAAAGGGAGGAACTTGTTGGCTCGATCGAGGAATAAATCTGTTCGTTGTGTCGATGCGAATATTTCGAATATATTGCGAAATTCATCCTCGCTCGAGTGGATGAAACGGGGTAACAAACGCGCGCGGATCAACGAGCTTTTGCAACGCGTTTCCGCGGAAATTGGTGCGAAATCTCGCGGATGATTGGATAACAGGAGGCGTTGAACCGCGTGTGCGCACACGGTGAAAAGAAATCTCAGTGTTTGTTGATGGAAACAGCGTTCAAGAAGATCTCGCGTCGACCGAAATATATGGGTAAAAAGCATATACGCGTTTTCTTTCATATGCTTGAAAGTAGCGGGCAAGAGGATACGTTTAGTTACGGCATAATCGACACGCATTTATCTTCCTTTCTCGTCTTCCTTCAAAATTAAACCTCTTCGTTTAGATCGATCGAAATGCACGAATTCAAGCAAACGTGAAATTCTTATTTATTCGAGTATTTTAAATTTCAAATTTTTTAATTTTGATTCAATATTTTTTTACTCGAATCAATGGTGCAAGCGTAATAACAAGTAGATGCTTTTATTAACATTGAGAAAAATTGTCTTCGAGAATAAAAAGAAAAGGAATTTTGTATAACTGAATATCAAAGTCATCGGTTGATTATCGATTCAAGATTATTATTGCGGATATATTTCTCGAGTTCGATCGAATATTGGCGCGCCATTTGAATTCCGATCAATGTAAACGAGCCTCCTTTTATATTTATTTCAAAGAAGTAACTAATAATCTCCGTTCCCTCTACGCACGTTTCGCGCCATTTTCTTAACAACGTAACACTTCCATTATCTTTAACAACAACAGTAACAACAGTTTTGTTTTCTCCGACTAGCAACGTATTATCGTATTAGAATTGCGATTTCCTTATATTTCTTATTTCTTATTTCTTATTTTCTTTTTTTTTTTTTTTCTTTTTTTCTTTTTTCTCTCCCTTATTTTCGGTAATCCCAGCACTCGTGTCTCGTCCTCGAAGCAATCGTGTTACTTTTTTTTTTTTTCTNTTTTTTTTTTTTTTTTTTTTTCTTCCTTTTCCTTTTTTGTTGACTTCTCGAAAAGCCGAATAGAAAGGTGCTTTAAAAATCTTGATGATGAACTTTATGAATATACACGAATATACAGATTTTCTCTTCGTGGAATTTTTCCTGAGCAAACGTCGTTTCGAATGGTTCGTTTCGTTTCGCTTGAACGCACGAGGAGTCGAAACAAGTGCTTCTCTAAAAGTGGGGTTCTCGACGTGCGGTATAAGCCACAACAGCGAAGCCTTAGAAAATAAGTTTTCGATTCGATGGATTTCTCGCGAAATGGGAACGAAATCTGAATGATTATTGTTCAGAATTATTAATAATTCTATTTTGTATCGTAACGTTTCGAAACGATGATAAATATAAAATAAAATTCGAAATTTCATTTTTATTCTCCGATTTTTCATTTTTGTGATCGACGTGTAATCACGTGTAGTAGTACTGTTATATATTCTCAAAGATACAAATGTTTTTCACAATTTTTCCCTTTTTTCTTTTTTTTCTTTTTTGTATCGAAAAACTATTATTATGTTTTGCGAATATATATATATATATATACGAGAATTATTCGATCGCGATAAAAAGATAGAATTTTTGTTTTTTCCAAGATCTTCTTTGTGGCTTGTACGGTACAATGCGTTCTATTTACAGCGGACGTAGTTTTTAGAACATTAATCCTATCTCTGTCGTTTTTTTTTTTCCTACACACACACACACACAAAATCTTTGGTTTTTTTTTTCTGGCGTTTGGCTCAAAAGAATTTGCCTCTTTTTCAACTTCTCCTTACGAAGATAGATTTTAAATTTTTTTTTTTTTCGTTTTTTTTTTCTTTTTTTTTTTTTTTTTAGTTCGTAAAAGTTGCGCGAAGTGTCAGGATGTTCGATCGAAACTTTTCCATCGTTCTTAAAAAAATATTACCCCCCCTCCCCCCCCCTCCCCTTCTCCTCAAGGGATCGAACGCTTGAAATTCATTCGTTTCAGGCACCATTGCGTTACTTTATTTGTTGTTAAAAAATATTTTTTTAACTCCGATTTTCCCTTCCTCTTTTTCCCTTCCTAATTTAATTTCATCTTATTCATTCCATTTTCTCGAATTTATAATAACGCGTCAAAAGGGTTAGCGACGATTAAGAATTCTTTGAATTCTATTCGTAAAATTTTATCGAAGTGGAAATTTTTGTTACGATAATTTCAGAGTGTCGTGAAAATTATATATTGATCTCTTTATATTTTCCCCTTTTTATTATTTAGAAAAAAAAAAAAAAAAAAAAAAAAAGGAAAAAAAAATTTTTTCATCGCAATTTCTAATCGAAAGAGATATTCAAAATGATAAACGTCGCGGATAGATCGATCAATTCTTTCTTCCCCCATTCCATATTAAAAATTTGGCGCGAGACATACCTCCCCCCCACCCTGACACTCCTCGATACGATAATTATTATATTATAATCATTACGCTCGATGGATTTTTATTACGTGTACTTTTTTTTTCTTTTTCTTTTAAATGTTGAGCATATTACGTCCTTGAAATAGGTTTCCATTTTTTAGAATATTTCATTGTTCTTTTTTTTTTTTTTTNTTTTTTTTTTTTTTTTTTTTTTTTTTTTTTTTTTTTACCACAATATACATACTTAACGTGTAATAGTAGCTTCGTGTGTACATTACGTATTAAATATATATATATATATATGTATATATGTATATGTATACATGACACACTCGAATGCCATAGTTATATCTCCGTAGTATAATACACATTGACGTTTTCCCATCAAGATGTCGATTTGGATTTTCTATTTGATCTTATTTTTTATTTTTCTTTTTCTTTTTTTTTTTTTTGTTGTCATCGATGTTATCAATCTCTTTCTTTCGTTTCTCTTTCGTAGCGTTTATTTTTATTATTATTATTATTATTATTTTTTTTTAACTCGCCTTAAACGTTTCGTTTTAACGAACTATCGTTGGCTCGAAGTTTTGACTCCCTATTTTTTGAAAAATCGGGGCCCGAAGTTTCGTACAAAGTTTTTTTTTTTTTCTTTTTTTTTTTTAACGAGTTTCTCAAAAGATCTAGGAATTTTCAATTATCTATCTATTGCATTGATGCTGCCTGAATATAATAAATTACGCCTTTTCGTCTCTTACTTTTTTTTTTTTTTTCTCCTCGTTGCGAATTTCTCAAAAAAGAAAAAAGAAAAAATGACGAGATCGCGATTTCAAGCCGCGTCATTCGATTTTGTCGGAAAAATCAAAGGAATAGATTGCCAATATATACATCGTGTGCGAAATTAATTAATCTCGCGGAAGAATTCCGAAAAATTTGAATTACGAGGAAAAAAAAAAAATTTTCACCAAACTGACATCGAACAAGAAAATGATACGATGTTAATCAAGCGATTAACGTGTAACATCTTTAAACAACTAAACGACTAAGCAACGCTTAACTTCTCCTTCTTCCACGTTAAATACAATTGATCTTTTAAAGCGACACTTCTTTTCCCCAGCGAAAACACACATTTCGATCCGAAAGGATCGTTCTTTCCTCTCTTGAAAACTCTCGAATTTCTTTTAAAAAAATCCCGGTCAAACGAGACAAAAGAAAAAAAGAAAAAAAAAAAAAGTACGAGAAACTGAGAAAACAACTCTCGCCCAAATCGAGCGTCCTTGATATAACACGATCGCAACGCGAAACACTTCTTCACAATTTGCTGTGACAAAGGAGGAAGAAAAACGTTTTTTTTTTTTTTTTTTTTTTTTTGGAAGAAAAAACGTGGTCGTGGAAAATTTTCGCTCCTTTTCTCTTCTCTTCTCTCTTTCTTTTCCCCCCTTTTTATCTTATTTTGAGAAGAATGATCTCGTAGATCTCGATGTTTCTCGATTCTTCATAGGCACTGAACGTTCCTTCTCGTGCAACTCGAAGCATTTTCTTCTTTCTCTTTTTCTCCCCCCTCTAATAAACTGATTCCCTCCCCTCTTCGATCCTTGCCTCCAAGTTCTCGAGGGTTTTTTTCGAGGGATATAATGGAGAGACCTCGACGACGGCGACGACGAGGAGGCAACACGAGGCGAAAACTCGTTGTCGAGAAATGGAAGCGGAGGCGAGACTTTTTCCGCTCCACAGGGGACGCTTATGATCGCGCTGACGTGGCTGGGCAATCGTGGCCGGCTCTCTACGATCACAGAACTGTCTCCATTTCGGCGATTTCCGTCCTGCCCGTTCCGTCCTCGGGGGTCCTGGTATCCAACAATCGATTCCAATAATCGTTAGATTCGAATAAGTTATATATATAAGTTATGTATTGAATCGTTGGGACAGGGGGAGGGGATAAGTTCGAGGGGATAAGTTTCGATCGTTTCTTTTTTTTTTCCAGCGATCTGGAATGTTTGGAAAGGTTAATATGTCAATGGTTGATTTTGGATAAAGTGTTAATTAGTTAGTTTGGAAATCAAATTGATCGATTTCATTTTTTTTTCTAAATTGTAATTTGAATTTTAAGAAAGAAAGGGGGGTGATAAGAGTAATGAAGGAGGAATTATTTAATAAAATCCAAATTTCATCTCGAAAACTAATTGAAAATATTCGAAAATATATGTAAGAAATTAAATTGATCGAGTTTACTTTATGTTTTTTTTTTCTAAATTGTAATTTGAATTTTAAGAAAGAATGGAAATGATAAAGAAGAAACAAGAACAAGAAGAAAACAAGAAGATTCATAAAATCATCTTGGAAATGAATTGAAAATATTCGAAGATATATGTAAGAAATCAAATTGATCGAGTTTACTTTATGTTTTTTTTTTCTAAATTGTAATTTGAATTTTAAGAAAAAGTGGAAATGATAAAGAAGGAAATTATTCGTAAAATCCAATTGAAAATATTCGAAGATACATATAAAAAATCAAATTGATATTTTATTTTTTTTCCAAATCGTAATTTAAATTTAAATTTTAAGAAAGAATGGGAATAATAAAGAAGGAACTTGTTCATAAAATCATCTCAGAAACGAATTGAAAATATTCGAAGATACGTATAAGAAATCAAATTGATTTTATATTTTTCTAAATCGTAATTTAAATTTTAAGAAAGAATGGGAATAATAAAGGAACTTGTTCATAAAATCATCTCAGAAACGAATTGAAAATATTCGAAGATACATATAAGAAATCAAATTGACTTTATTTTTTTCTAAATCGTAATTTAAATTTTAAGAGAGAGTGAAATGACAAATTATTTTTAGAGTAACAAAGAACGAGGAATATTTGGAAAATTAGAAGTGTACGCGTAAGAAATGCGAAATTCAAGCTCCGTGACGTGATATATATATATGACATAGCTGCGCAAGGAGCGTGTGGACGCGCGGATTTCGTATTCGATAGTCGAGAATGCGAGGAATTTTGTGGAAGGTACGACGCGATCGAAAGTTCTCTACGTAAATGTTCCGCGCACAACATTCTTCGCCCGGCTGACACATTTCTGTTTGCGGAATGTTTTCGAAATATGCGCAAGCATTAAACTCGAACGCGCGTTAGAAGCGAAAGATTAGAGCGAGATTCGATTCGAAAACTAAAAAAGGATAAAAAGGAGATGTAAAGAAATTTTTAAATTTAAAACGAGTAATCTTTTATTATGGTTAAATTAAAATAATTAATTGATATTTATCGAATCCATATGATATATTATATAATAAAATATATATTGGGAAAAAATTCTTCAATATTGCGATAAAAGAACGAGAACGTAGTAGCGATTAGATAAGGTAGGTATTATCCTTACCTGTAGATCTCGGGGGGTAAAAATTTGCTGGCGTATTCCGTGCTGACCACATGGTTCCTGGTCATGTCCCTGGGTCTGGCTACGTCGATGGCGTCGATGAATCTAGATTCAAGATAATCCCTGTGTGACAATTTGCAGAGAAGAAAATTTCATCGTTTACATTATCCGTCGTATAGATAGTTTTATATACATATACATATATGTATAGATAAAGGAACGTGTACGGAATGAATCGTGTTCGGAATCTGAGATATCGTCGTTACTTATAAAAAAAAAAAATTTCGACGGATTATTTTCTCGATTCGATCCGAAAGTTTAAATTCTACCTTCACTTTTTTTTTTTTTTTTTTTCTTAAAAGTTAAGGAGATTCTATTCTCGATATCTTCCATTTGAAATCTCTTCTTTATTAAATTCTCGATATATACATTTTGAAGATATACAAACGTCGTGTATACATCTTTTACAGGGAGGATAAATTCAAACCGTTTTTCAATCTACATCCACGTAAACTTTGATCCTCTCGAGGAAAATTTTCAATATCTCAAAGTTATAATTTAGACGTTTGTGCTTTTACGCGCGTACACGTGTATCGAATGGTAAACCGTGTATAGGAAGGTGAGAGTAATCCAGTTTGTAATACGTGATGTAATATTGTTTATACCGTGGGAATAGTTACAGTTCACGAATCGAATAGAAGCATCGAGTTTCACCGACTTTCGAAGATCATTACGAATTTGCGTTCGATTTCTCCGTATCGAAATTCGTTTGTGTGTATGTGTGTGTGTATACTTTCAGTTGAACAAATTTTTACGATAATCGGGGAAAATAATTTTAGAAAAAGTTCGGATAAAAGTTCAATTTGCTGATTTCCAAAAAGAAAATAAATAAATATTCCATAAAACTTCCTATACTGTACATATATTTTATCGTAATATGAAAACTCGATCACAAGGTCTAGAATCTATTCATATTATAAATCAATCGTTATAATAGAGATATTTATAACAATAATTTATATAAAATTTTCCGATTCTCAAACACTATTCGACCTCGTAAATAAATCACGAAACAAGTATACCTCAGATTCCACGAAATTTGATCGACTCGTTCCGTACAAACGACTGCACATTTTCTTTTCCTTGGCTTTCACTGATTCACAGTAATTTCCTTATCCCGCAATAGATGGCGCAGCGGTCTGTCGTCGACCTGTCGCGGACAATTTATCGTCCCACAACTCGATACACAAGTCGCCACGAATCTACCTAAAAAACTCGTCTCGTTCAACTCGCATGCCATGCCTCCGAGCACATGAAAACTGGGGGAGAGGGGGGAGGAGTGTAGGTATAGGTCGATACGAAAAATTACGAGTTCGAGAAAAAGTGTATAGACAGATAGACAGATGGATGAATGGATTAGGTGGAGAAGAAAAAAAAAAAAAATTGGAAAAAAAAATAAGGCATAATATAAGTAGAGATAGATATATAATTCGAATGCGTAGTATGTGCAGAAGTTTCTATAAAAAACTACCAAGCGAATAAGCGGATCTAATCTACTACTCTTTCTACCACTCTTATCCTTTCAACTTTTATTTCGTTGTCATCGATCCTCGCAAAGCCCCTCCCCTTTCATTTTATTTTATTTTATTTTATTTCTCTTTCGCCCCAGATGTTATTTCAATCGAATCTATAAGTAGAAACGATAAGTAGAAATATAAGAGGCGGATTTAATTTACACTCGATTTGAAACTGTAAAAAATTTTAATCTAATCCGTTTGATAGAATAAATAATTTATCAAGAAACGTAAGATAGTTTCTTTATCCGTAGAGATAAAATACAACTCGTTAAACGGATAGAGATTTAACGAGCTTTGCGAGGTCGATAATACCCTCCTCTCTGTCAACGGTGCACGGATTTATCGATCTCGTTTCTGTCACATTTAACGAAAACGATCGCCTTTCGTCGATTTTTTTCACGTGCATTCCGAGGACAGTTTGCGTCGAAGCGACGTAGGAACCTTTTTTTTCCAAAAAAAAAGGAAATCGAAACAAAGAGATATGGAAAATACGACTATTGTTCAAGATTACGATCAGCTGTCGAAACTGTCTCGTCACCCGAGAACAAACTTTCTTCTGGAGGATGATGGAACGATTCAGAATTTTGGGATGTGTCGAGGAAGTGGTCTCCGTGTGATCCAAAACGTCGTTTCCCTTAAACGTATGCGCCATTTTGTGGTTTCTCTCTCTCTCTCTCTCTCTCTCTTTCTCTTCTTCTCGAGAAGAAGATATAACCCTCGGTTCGCTTTTTAAATGGCGAACGCCTCGACACCAGCTGGCGAACAAACAAGCGCGAATACTTTCCCGATATTTGGCAGCTGATTCGAACCCCTCCCTCCCTCCCTCCCTCCCCTTAGTTCCCGTGCCAAATTCCAACCTATCCGTGACCCAGTAAATAAATCTCGCGAACCAACATCGTCGAGCAAAGAAGCTGAGATCAGCTATCGTATATATATATATATATATATATATATATATATAAGTTCATATAATTTCTTTGGAATATTATCCCAAGGACGAAACGTATATCGGGACGAATAATGATTTATACATATATAAAAAAAAGAGAGAGAGAAAAAGGAAAAAGCACCGCGCTCACGTTGTCGAAATACGTAGAATTTTACGCGTAGAATTTTATTCGGCAAAGGAAAAAAAGAGGAGGACGTTGAGTCGGGATTTGGGTATAAGGGATAAGAGAGGAGGATGGATGGAGGGGGAGGAAGTACAATTTTATTCGATACGCACAGAGAATGGGGAAGAAACGAAAAGGAGGCGTTAAGTCGGGTTCCAAGGGTTTTATGGGGGATGTGAGAGAGGAGGGTGGAGGGAGAAACGAGGGGGCAGGGTTCCTACGTCGCCGGGGAGAGTTCTCTTACTTGTTGTTGCTGTTGTTGTTGGTTGTGTGGGCGTTGCGGACTTACGAATCGAAGTATGGCGGTAGCGGATGCGGAGCCTCCACCGCCAATGATTCCGGTTGCGAGTGGCGGTCCGAGTGGCTTTGAAAGCATCCTCGCCACCAGCCGAGACTTCCGGTTTTCCTCCTTTAAAAAAGCCCACGTGGATATGTGCCAACCCTTCTCCTCCGCCTCATCGTCCATCAACAACCACCGTCGCTTCAATACGTTAAACCACAGCAACACGTCTCAACAGAGACGAGATCTTTTTTTTACCGCCTTCCTTTTATCGCTCTTTTCCTATCTTCTTCCTAATAATCTCTCTCTCTCCCTTCGTTCGAGAAATATCTTTTCTTTTCTCGAGGAATAAAACGCTCAGTTTTTATCGAAGAGAATTTTGGAACGGCTCGCTTTTTATATTGGATTTTTGTTGGTTATTTCGTTGGTTATAAGAAATTGTTTTCTTTCTTTTTGGATAAATCACAATTTTAATGGTAATTTTTGTAGAGAGGAACTCGAACACTCCACGAGGGAGATTATTTGGAAAATCTGCGCGGATGGGGAAGGAAAGAAGCTTTTGATAAAAGTACACAATCGTTTCTTACGTTGTCTGATCGAATTCTGTTTGATTTTATACGGGAAGAGGATTCTTCTCATCATCCGTTTGGAAGGATTTCGACCGATATTTTATTTTCAACCGAAATATTGGTAAATAGAAAAGTTATATTCGACATTAATTTTGAATTTCAATTTTTCAATACGTTGAATATGTTTGCCGCTTTGTTTCTTCGAAGTTAAAGATTCAAATTTGGTCAGGGCTCAAATTGGGTTTAAAATATTCGATCTTAAGTTTTCGTAAGCGAATTAGGGTCGTTCGTGATGTAACTGAAATTTCACGCTCCAACTTCTTGCCAAACAAAATTTCGAACGTTAACGAACTCCTATCGGAAATATCCGAAAAAATTTTTCTTCGATATCATTCTTTTCAAAATTTCAACTTCGAACGCGTTAAAATTCGAAGGGAACTCGATCCAAATTTCATTTCATCTCGTTTCAAAATTCGAATAACTTTGATCGAAGAATTCTCGTTTCTATTTTTCCTTTTTACAATTCACCGTTTTCATCGAGCAATCCTCTCGAAAGGGAACAAAAATTGGAAACAAAAATTGGAAAATTCTTCGAGCGCATCACCGAGTTGCATCAAAGTTTCGATCGAAGAACGCGCCCGATTCGACGATCGATCTTCGAGATAACGCTTCCCTGTCCGAGCTCTCGAGCTGGGAAAGTTTTCCTCTCCACCCACCGAAAAATTCCTTCCAAGATCTCGTGTCGTTGAGAAGTTCTGCTTAATAAAGTACGCGCCACCCCCTTCTCTCCTGCCCAATTTTTCCTTCTCTCCAACTGGTAAATTTGTTAACAACAAAATTTCAAGCCGATGCGTGACAGTCTCGTAACTTGATGCGGTGAAAAATACGCCGTTGATCGTGAGTTTGAGACGATTGCTTATTTTCGATGGATCTCGTGATTTCGAGATGGTGCTGGAAAACTTTATGCTTTGAAAACTTTATTTTTTTTGGAAGCCGAGATTTTTTTGTCGGGTCATCTTTACAATATTACTTTATAATATTTGCGTTTGACGTATTTTTGCCGATGAGAATAGGTCGAAGAGAATAAGTCGAAATGAAATTTCAAAAAAGTTGGTAAAAATTATTCTTTCTACGATTTTATAATATTTTTGACGCATATTTGAAATTTTCTTTTTGATGAGGGAAAGAATAAATTGAAATGAAGAATTTAAATTAATTTTCAAAAAAGTTCGTAAAAATTATTCTTTCTACGATTTTCGCATATAATTATCTTATGCGTGTGTCTTTATCAAATTCTGATAATATTTGAAATTTTTGTCGATGAGGAAAAGAATAAGTCGAAATGAAATTTCAATGTTCGTAAAAATTATTCTTTCTACGATTTTGGCATATAATTATCTTATGCATGTGTCTTTATCAAATTCTAATAATATTTGAAATTTTTGTCGATGAGGGAAAGAATAAGTCGAAATGAAATTTCAATATTCGTAAAAATTATTCTTTCTACGATTTTATAATATTTGACGCATATTTGAAATTTTCTTTTTGATGAGAATAAATTGAAATGAAGTTTCAAAAATTTTCTTTCTACGATTTTTGCATATAATTATCTTATGCGTGTATCTTTATCAAATTTTCTGATAATATTTGAAATTTTTGTCGATGAGGGAAAGAATAAGTCGAAATGAAATTTCAGTGTTCGTAAAAATTATTCATTCTACGATTTTATAATATTTTAATAATATTTGACGCATATTTGAAATTTTCTTTTTGATGAGAATAAATTGAAATAAAGTTTCAAAAAAATTCGTAAAAATTATTCTTTCCACGATTTTCGCATATAATTATCTTATGCGTGTATTTTTACCAAATTCTGATAATATTTGAAATTTTCTTTTTCTCGATGAGGGAAAGAATAAATCGAAAATGAAATTTCAACATTCGTAAAAATTATTCTTTTTTACGATTTTGATACAAAATTATAATATTTGAAATTTTCATTTTGTCGATGAGGGAGAGAATAAGTCGAAAAGAAATTTTAACGTTCGTAAAAATTATTCTTTCTACGATTTTCGCATATATATATATATATATCAAATTCAAGATAGTGGGATGGCTAAACTAAATATCCATGCAAATAACTATAAATTTTACAAAATTAAAATATACTAATAATGTATATATCGAATAGATACAATAACTCGAAACTGTCAAAATAAACTGTCTACCATAAATCTAATTTCCAATGGAAATCAAATATAAGAATTCTATCAATTCCATTCAATGTGGGGCTATTCTAGTGGCACGAGTCAATAATATTCGTCAACACGACAAATGCCGCTACGAGTTCTTCTTCCTCTCTAAAATAACCATCGATCCTTCATAAATGCAATCTATTTTCAATTTGTCAAACTGTGCAAGTCTCAAACTTACGATCAACGGGGAACAATCGAGAGAATGGCGCAGATAAATAAAGTAGGAACCAGAAACGAATGGTACTCTCGTGCCGATATCACGATTAGGGAAGTAGGGATCGATTTATCTCTATCAAATTCCGACAAATTAAATTTCATAAATATCATTGAATATAAAAATATTCAAAAAAGAATATTTTTTCGTAAAATTAATATATTATAAAAATTAATATATCTCGAAAAATTAATATATTATAATATCAAAATGAATTTTCGATCAATATTTACAACTGAACGAGGAATGTTGTTGCGATGATTATTTCGAATATTTCGAACGAATAGCTTTTGCAATTTTCATCTCCAATTTCGTATACTTCTTCTTCTTGAGAGAATAACATTTTCAGAAAAAATTTTTCCAACTTAATTCGAACTTGTACCTTTTTTTAATTTACATTCGATCCCATCCCTACTCGTAATGTTTCCATATACGTATATGCGTATTTTGAATGCATACGCGTGAATATTATATATATACATTTTAGAGACTGCATATATACGAATTTAATATACGTGTATATATATATATACGTTCGTAGATAAGTGCATGCTGTGCGAGCCAGGCTCCAAGTGACGTCAGAAAATATAACGTAATATAATTCAGGATTTAATCTCGATTTGCAGGTGGATGAAAGCAACATTAAGTTAATTAATCGCTAACAATCGCGGTGTTGTCGAAAATCGAATATCTCAGAATTTTAGAGAACGTGATTTCCACGTATAAAGACACGTAAAGAAACGTGTTTAAAATCGATATCGAGTTACTAATTTCTAAAAAAAAAATCACCCTTTTCTCGATATCTATCTAATTTTCTCATCTTTCACAAATCAACAATTGTTCGTTCACGCGAATCGAGTTCGAATCCTTGGTTAATGGAGGACAGGTGAGAAATAATTATGCAGTAGACATGCGTAGATCTGCCGTTTAGCGGGCCCACTTCCGCTTTTGTGAAACGCGTACGAGCAGAGAAGAAGCGCGCGCCGATCATTTCGAAAGGAAAGCTTTAGAAAGAAGTTCCATTTTTATATAAATATGGAAAGCTTGTGGATGGAGTACAACAGCGCGTTGTTGCACTTCGAAAGCATCGAAGGTGGCACTTCGAAGGAGAAGCGAATAGTTTCCCTTCATTTCGTCTTCTCTCCTCTCCGCTTCGATCTCGCCTCTCCTCGATCATCGAGCGGATCTCGAACCGTTTCTCCAATCGATTTCTCTCGAAATTATATTATATTATCGATTTCTCTCGATTATTATATTGTATTATCATCGCACGTCGTTTCTCTTAACTCGTTTGACTGCCGCGCGTATTTCTAATGAAATCTTAGGGCATCAAGTAGTTTTCTATATTTTATATTTATTTATATTATTCATATTTATTTATATTTATATATATATTTTATATTTTATAATGATGGTCGCAAGAACGATGTCTCGTATCATTAGTATTGGTAATAGTAATTGTATTGAATAATAATACTGATTTAGTATATTTTGGATATTTTAATTTGGATAATTTGGATTATAATTTGGGTAATATGACTGTCGAATGTTCTTCGATTAGTCGTAACAAATATACTTCTTAGTTGTATATAAATTATTCGTGTGGCTTGTCTATTAGAGACCAGGGTCTCTCACAATAATCGTGTCAGAGCACGATACGTTCATAAACTATCTAATCGTCGTATCACCATGAGGCTCGTGATATCCCAAAAGATTAGAAGATTTAGAGAATTATTAACTGCAAAATTATTAGGATTATATATTAAAATATTATTATATATTTATATATATTATATATGTTATTAATTAGTTATAATATATTTATATATTATAACTTATTATAACAATAAAACTTTCAACAGAATCAACATAATATCGCCGATATTTTGGAAAAATAATTCTGGTATAAGTATTAGACTGCATGCAAATTATATTCTATAAAAGACGACAAATGGATCGATCAAACGCACGAAGGAATTTAAAAAAAGACAACAACTTCTTTAAGTCCAAATTATCCAGATCAACTTCAGCTTTCTATATAATGTTTTAAAATTTTACATTCAAAATAACTTTTTTATTATTTTCATAACAATTTAATAATTTTATTAAAGTATATCTTTTCAAATACCTACGAAGATCCTTCAAATAAGCGTCATCCGATGACGAGGCGGTCAACGTGTTAAATTGTTTCGTGGTGAAACGGATGAGAAACAGTGATCGAGATCACAAGTTAATCAATTTTTTCGAGATCCTCTCGAGCACGAGCAAGAGTCGAGAGTCTCGTATCATTACACGGCTATACTTTTTCTTTTTCACGCACGCACGTTAAACTCGAACGAAGCCAAGAATCTAGAAGCTTACTTACTTGGCCTGGGGAGGTTTTATCCCGTGAGCCTCAAGATCCTTCTCCAATTGCCGTATCCTGATCCTGGCCATGTCCAATTCGTGCTTCACCTTCCACAAATGCGTGTCGCATATCGGATCCCTGCATCTGTGGTACCTCAGGATATCCTGCGCCTCGTACACCGCGCCGCGGAACGTCAACGACTTTCCCATACTCTTCGAAACAGATATAATATCAATAATAATAAAAGTAGCAGAAATATAAGATGTATGTCGGATTAATCAGATGCTCGTGATTTAACAGGCAGAATCATCGAGTGGAGTACCATAGAGTAGGATAGGATAATTTTATGAATCGAACGAGTAGATTCAGACGATCATGGTTAAGGGTAAAATTGATATAGAAATTCCAAGTGAAAAAGTTTTTATTCTGTCACATAAAATCCTTTTTTTTCACCTCATAAGTTTCGTTAATTTTAAGAGGGAGTTGGGGGTATATTCAAGAATGTGATACGTAATATCTAGAGAAGGGAGAAGGGGGAGCCAAATTAATTTCTCTTATATTTTCAAAACTGTAATAATAATGATTAAAATAGTAGAAATATAAAATATATCGGATTAATCAGATGCTCGTGATTTAATAGGCAGAATCATCGAATATAGAATAGGATAGTTTTATGAATCGAACGAGTATATTTAGACGATCATGGTTAAGGGTAAAATTCATAATACAGAAATTCCAAGTGAAAAAAGTTTTTATTCTGTCACATAAAATCCTTTTTTTTCACCTCATAAGTTTCGTTAACTTTAAGGGGGAGTTGGGGGTATATTCAAGAATGTGATACGTAATATCTAGAGAAGGGAGAAGGGAGAGCCAAATTAATTTCTCTTATATTTTCAAAACTGTAATAATAATGATTAAAATAGTAGAAATATAAAATATATCGGATTAATCAGATGCTCGTGATTTAATAGGCAGAATCATCGAATATAGAATAGGATAGTTTTATGAATCGAACGAGTATATTTAGACGATCATGGTTAAGGGTAAAATTCATAATACAGAAATTCCAAGTGAAAAAAGTTTTTATTCTGTCACATAAAATCCTTTTTTTTCACCTCATAAGTTTCGTTAACTTTAAGGGGGAGTTGGGGGTATATTCAAGAATGTGATACGTAATATCTAGAGAAGGGAGAAGGGGGAGCCAAATTAATTTCTCTTATATTTTCAAAACTGTAATAATAATGATTAAAATAGTAGAAATATAAAATATATCGGATTAATCAGATGCTCGTGATTTAATAGGCAGAATCATCGAGTATAGAGTAGGATAGGATAGTTTTATGAATCGAACGAGTAGATTCAGACGATCATGGTTAAGGGTAAAATTCATAGTACAGAAATTCCAAGTGAAAAGAAATAGAGTAGGATAGGATAGTTTTATGAATCGAACGAGTAGATTCAGACGATCATGGTTAAGGGTAAAATTCATAGTACAGAAATTCCAAGTGAAAAAAGTTTTCATTCTCTCACATAATATTCTTTCCTTTTTATCTCATAAGCTTCGATAAGTTAGCTCTAAGGGGGAGTTGGGGGTATATTCAAGAATGTGATACGTAGTATCTAGAAGAGGGAGAAGGGGGAGCCAAATTAATTTCCCTTATATCTTCAAAACTGATATAATAATAATGATTAAAGTAGTAGAAATACAAGATATACGTAATATCTAGAGAAGAGAGAAGGGGGAGCCAAATTAATTTCTGTTATATTTTCAAAACTGATGTAATAATAATGATTAAAGTAGTAGAAATATAAAATATATCGGATTAAACAGATGCTCGTGATTTAACAGGCAGAAGAAGGCGGAATCATCGAGTATAGAGTAGGATAGGATAGTTTTAATCGATGGAGTAGATTCAGACGATCATGGTTAAACAAATAGAACAGTAATAGAAATAAAAGTAAGAAATTAAATAAAAGTATGTTTCGAGGCTATAAATCTTACCTTAAAACGTGATAAATACGATAATTATATCTATTCAAAAGATGAGATTTTTTATACAGATAAAAAAAAGAGATAAAAATATAAAATTAAGTGTACGTATAGTACAGAAACTCCAAGTGAAAAAAGTTTTCATTCTGTCACATAAAATCCTTTTTTTTCACCTCATAAGCTTCGATAAGTTTCGTTAACTTTAAGGGGGAGTTGGGGGTATATTCAAGAATATGATAATATCTAGAGGAGGGAGAAGGAGGAGCCAAATTAATTTCTCTTATATTTTCAAAAATATTTTCAAAACTGATGTAATAATAATTTTAAAGTAGTAGAAATATAAAATATATCGGATTAAACAGATGCTCGTGATTTAACAGGCAGAAGAAGGCAGAATCATCGAGTATAGAGTAGGATAGGATAGTTAATCGAAGGAGTAGATTCAGACGATCATGGTTAAACAAATAGAACAGTAATAGAAGAATTAAATAAAAGTATGTTTCGAGACCATAAATCTTACCTTAAAACGTGATAAATAAAATTTATAAATAAAAATTATATCGATTCAAAAGATGAGATTCTTTAGAGATAAAAAAAAGTGTTAAAATTAAGTGTACGTATAGTACAGAAATTCCAAGTGAAAAAAGTTTTCATTCTCTCACATAAAATCCTTTCCTTTTTATCTCATAAGCTTCGATAAGTTAGCTCTAAGGGGGACTTGGGGGTATATTCAAGAATGTGATACGTAGTATCTAGAGAAGGGAGAAGGGGGAGCCAAATTAATTTCTCTTATATTTTCAAAAATATTTTCAAAACTGATATAATAATAATGATTAAAGTAGTAGAAATATAAGATATATAGTAGATTCAGAAGATCATAATTAAACAAATAGAAGAACAGTAATATCAAAAGAATAAGAGTATGTCTCGAAGCCATGAAATATTACTTTAAAACGTGATAAATATGATGTTGATTCAAAAACATGAGATTTTTTAGGGATAAAAAAAAATTCCAAGTGAAAATAGTTTTCATTCTTTCACATAAAATCCTTTCCCTTTCACCTCATGAGCTTCGATAAGTTTCGTTATTTGAAATATATTATACTGTTACGACACAGTTCGTACGAAAACGAAACTCAAAGAAAAGAAGAGGCACGCGCTCTAAGGGGAAATTGAGGATATATAGAAGAACGTGATACGGTAATATCGCGTCTAGAGGAGAGAGAAAGGGGAGCCAAGTTGATTTCTCTTATATTTTCAAAACGGATATGATAACAATGTTAAAAGTAGTAAAACTATAAGATATAGTCGGACTAAATCAGATACTCGTGATTTAACAGAAGAAGGCAGAATCATCGAATATAAAAATAGGATAGGATAATTTTAATCGAACGAGTAGATTCAGACGATCATAGTTAAACAAAAATTAAACATGTCTCGAGGCCATGAAATCTTACCTTAAAACGTGATAAATATGATGTTAATTCATAAAAAATAAGAGATAAAAAAAAAAACAAGGAAATTCCAACTGAAAAAAGTTTTCATTTACACTTTTTTCTTTTTCCACATAAAATCCCTTCAATTTCACAATTTCTCTAAGCTTCGATAAGCTTCGTTATTTAAAATTCGAACGAAAACGAAATTCAAAGGAAAGCGACGAAGCTCTAAGTCAAATTGATTTCTCTTGAATCTTCGAAACACATATAATAATAATAATAACAATAATAATAATTTACATAAAAAAACTCTGTTCTGTGAAGATGAGCGTGCGCGAAGAGAAGAATCGTTCGATCGTTCGTGGAAAGGAGCAAGGGGATGATATTTTTATATCTTCGTATTTTTGAGATAATAGAAATTTATTTTAGCGTCTCTGGAGGAGGAGGAGGAGGAGGAGGAGGAGGGGGTTAAGGATGGAATCGATATTGAAAATATATTTCAATAATCGGCTTACCAGGCTGAAAAGCGCGCAACAACCGCCGCCGTCGCTTCGCGCCAGATGCTGCCTTACGTATTTGAAATACAAATGTTCCAATAGCAGGAAGGCAGCGGCAAGAAGGATTCCCATCATTAATAAAAGGAAAGCGGACAAGAATTGTTCGAGCGCCAGGGGATCGCTGCTCTTTTGCACCTCTTTGCCGGGTTTGCACGTCCCCGTCATCCAGTACCTCCTCAGCCGTTCCAAGTCCCCTGCAATTTTAGTTATTCTTCCCTTTAACGGATATACGTACGTGAAAAATGGGTAGAGAGAGAGAGAGAGAGAGAGAGAGAGAAAAAATAAAGTATCTCCATTTCTTCGTCGAGAAGAGAGAGAATCGAATTGGGTCGTCGAGGGCAAGAAAAAATTCTCAAATTATATTTTCATTTTCAAAAGAAATTGAAGATGTAGGAAGGGGGGGAGGAGTAATAAAAAGAATACTCTTCTCTAAATTGCGCTTGCTAACGAGATTTTTCTTCTTCTTCTTTTTTTTTTTTTCGACAATGAAAATATCAACGTTGGACGAGTAAATTTTCGAAGGGAGTTTCTTTCGATCTTGAAGGATTATGAATCTTTCGTTTGTTCCGTACGTAAGGAAGAAGATTCGGATCGAAATGATTGGAGAAAATAAATTTGTAGATACCGTTGTCCCTGTAGTCGAGGAGACGTTTGTTGAACATCTGCAGGTACTTGGAATTCCTGGAGAAGGCGAGGCCGTATCCGGTCATGGCGTACCAAGATCCAACGGTTAGCAACCGGCAGTCCTCGTCCTGCGCCACCAGGTAGTCGAGGACCGTTCCATCGTAGATGAACGCGTCCATCTCTCTGTCGGAAAGACGATGTTGGTCAGAAAAATTGAAACGATTCGATTCATTCTCGATCATCAACGATCTCTCTTTTCCTCTTCTCGACATCTTCATCCCTCCGAGTTTCTTCCCGCTTCTTCACCGAGAAATTTCTTCTAGATTTAGATAATCTAAATCGTTAAATTGTTAATTGGTTATCACCGCGTGATTTTTTTCAAATTTTCTTCTTTTTTTTGATAAAAATTGAAGAAGAATTTCCATCGAGAAATTTGATTGGAAATTTCAATGAAATTGAAAGAATGGGCACTTAACCTACTAACGTTGTGCATTAATGCAACGTTCCATTTTTAATTTTCTTTCTCTCTTTTCCTTTCTTTTTTTCTTTCTTTTTTTTTACGTTATTGAATTTTATCTTTTTAATACCTCGCGATTCTAAATTTGGATTCGCTTAGAATTTTTTTCCCCCCGCTCGTTTTTCCATTCCTAGATTTTTTGTTCAAGGGGAACAAAAAGATAAAAAAAAAAAAAAAAAAAAAAGAAAAGAAAAGGAAGGATGAAAATAAACGACAAGAATCGTGGAGTAATAACCGTAAGTGCTGAGAAGTTAATTGCGCGATTCTAAAATTACCATAAAATCTGAGACAAAAGCGCGTTCCAACTTTGATCTAATTAAACTCGATCCAACGTTTCCAAATTAGTTTTAATCCGAATTTCATTAAAAAGTCCGACTCTCCGCGTAATAATATTCCGAATTTGGGCGAAAGCTTATCTTTCCTTTCCGCTCTCCTTTCCCCCCGGAAGAATCATCTAGTCCCCGTTTCGCGCGCTATAATTTACACAGCCTGTCGCAACAACGCTTTCGCGCCTCGCCAAACGCGGCTGAAACGCGGCTCCATCCACTGATCGCGGGCCAAGCCCGATGGAACTAACTCGCCGAGATTAAACGAGCAACTCCGCCGCGGAAACTTCGATAACGAGCCACGTATACATAATACGTTCGCATTTACCGCGTTTAAGCGACCATTCGACCAAGTTTTTAACACGATTTATTAACACGTCTTACTTTTGTTGTACGTTGCGCGTTTCGAAACGTTCGATTCTTCTTCTCGATTCTCTCCCCTTTCTTTAAAGAGCGCAGTTTAAACACGTTAATATCGTTCTCCTGTTCTTCATGTTGTTCATTAAACATTGTTTTTAATATGAATTAAATAAAAAGAAAAGATACAAAGGTGATTTTTAGGTGACTTATTGCTTTTATTATAAATTATTCATAAATTATTATTTTTTGAATATGTTGTACGAGAAAATATATGGGAATGTTTTAGAAAGGTAGAAGAATAATATTTTAGGATATTTTTGAAACACCAACATTGGAATGAAAAAAATTCAAAATCTATCTAAAATTGGGATCATGAAAAATGGAAGAAAATCCAAATAATAATATTTTTGGATATTTCTAGAAAACCAACATTGGAACGAAAAAAACCCAAAATCTATTTAAAATTGGGATCATGAAAAATAGAGGAAAATCTAAAGAATCTTAGAATATTTCTGAAAGATTGGAACGAAAAAAATCTCTCTAAAATTGGAATTATGAAAAATAGAAGAAAATCTAAATAATAATATCTTAGAATATTTCTAAAGAACCAATATTGGAACGAAAAAAACCCAAAATCTATTTAAAATTGGAATTATGAAAAATGGAAGAAAATTGAAATTATGAAAAATGGAGGAAAATCCAAAGAATTATAGATATATAATTAGGATATTTCCGAAAGTTTGGAACGAAAAAAATTCAAGATCTATTTAAAATTGAAATTATGAAAAATAGAGGAAAATCTAAGGAATCTTAGAATATTTCTGAAAGATTGGAACGAAAAAAATCTTTCTAAAATTGGAATTATGAAAAATGAAAGAAAATCTAAAAAATCTCAGAATATTTCCAAAAGATTGGAACGAAAAAAATCTATCTAAAATTGGAATTATGAAAAATGGAGGAAAATCCAAAGAATCTTAGGATATTTNCAAAATCTATTTAAAATTGGAATCATGAAAAATGGAAGAAAATCCAAAGAATCTTAGAATATTTCTGGAAGATTGGAACGAAAAAAATCTCTCTAAAATTGGAATTATGAAAAATGGAGGAAAATCTAAAGAATCTCAGAATATTTCTGAAAGATTAGAACGAAAAAAATCTCTCTAAAATTCGAATTATGAAAAATGGAGGAAAATCCAAAGAATCTTAGAATATTTCCAAAAGTTTGGAACGAAAAAAATCCAAAGATCTATCTAAAATTATGAAAAATAGAAGAAAATCTAAATAATAATATCTTAGAATATTTCCAAAAGACCAACATTGGAAGGAAAAAAATCAAAACTTTATGATTTATAAGTTTTACATAATAAAACAAGGTCGATAAATTGACTTACCCGCTGATAACCGCCTCGATCCCTTCGGCCACGCTGCTCTTGTTGAACTCCTTCATATACGTGTGCATCTCCTTGAAGTATTTGGCCAACGTGCTGTCGGTATGGCTCCAAGGTATCGTACCGAACTTGAACATAGGCTTGTGGGACCAAGGTTTGGCCAAACGGTGATCGTCCACGCCCGTGAATTCGTGAAACTCCTCCCTCGTGATCATGAATGCGGCCAGGTTGGCAGTGTAAATGGCGAGAAACACCACGGCGAACAGCGCCCACACGTTTGTCATGAATCTGAGTCGAAGACATACTTTTTAAAAAAACTCTCACGCCCCTTCGAAACGAGTGTTGAGACGAAATTTTTACTCTCTTTCGTTCATCTTTGGACTTAAACTCTAAAAAGAGTTTTTCCAATATTCTTTCAAACCGAGTTAAAGATCTTCTCGAAAGAGAAGGGGATTGAATTGTAAGAGATCGATTCGAGACTCGAAATCCAAAATTCGATATCTAGATCCAGAATGGAATAAATGAAAAATTTGTCAACGCTTCGATCAATCTTTAAATTACGTGCATCCAGATTCGTATAGGTTGATAAATTAATTAAGAAAAGAAAAAAAAATCTCGATGACCTCACGACTCGTGGACAAATTTTTTGATGTACGTTTCACGCTGCGCAAAATATTTTTTTTATATTTTTCGATAACATGGATGGCAGATCGTGTATTAATAATTCTACTGTAATAACGGATACATGTTTCGAGACTTTTATTTACGAGCATTCCTTCATCCACTGTAACAATATTACATTTCCACAGGAATATACCGTCATTTTTCTCTGTTTAAACAAGAAATATAAAATATTTCCATTATTATTATTATACATCCTCGAGATCGAAATGGAAGAAATCGAAAAAGGAATATTTTAATCCCGAATTCTTCTGACGACTTGAAACAAAATAGAGAGATAAATAATGTACGAAAAAATTCTGTTATATATATATCCGTCTCATTTTTAAATCAACAAATCGATCCGTTCTTCTGAACGTAACAGAATTTGTGGAAACACGGTGTATGATATTTTCGAGAATAATGGCGGTGCGAAATAATTCACACGGTGTTCCGTATGTTTTGAATTCCAATTCCACGCGGCCGAGAAATAATATGGCGTGCAATAAATAAAATGTTCATTTTTCACGGATAACGTTGAATACAATTTCTTCTGGCATAAGAACACTCTCCGCCATTGGAGGGACTTATATTTCATTCTCAATCCGCGTTGTCCAACGTGAGATATCATCTTCCCGATATTCGAAACACTTTTCGAATATTTTTTTTCTTTACTCTTGCGCTTGCGAGCGCGATATTCATTAATTGACCAGATGTACATCGTTCTCCGCGTAGACAGCCCCGTGTTAAAATATTTCACACGCGATTGAACGTATAAAAATTCGTTTTCGAGAATCTGATAAATTCATATTTTGAACCGAGGAACGTAGAAGAGACGAAGAAGAGGAAATTCAATTGACCAGATATATATTTCCGCGTAGACAAATCCCGTGAAATATTTCAAACGTGATTATAATATATAAAGATATAAAAATTCGTTTTCAAATCTTTAAATTTTCAAATGGCAATATCGAGAATCTGATAAATTCATATTTTCAAAATAATCAAAAAAAGTAGAATAAAATCAAAAAAAGTAGAAGTGATGTACGAAGAAGAGAAAATTTAATTGTTCAGATATGTAATATATAAAGGTATAAAAATTCATTTTTAAATCTCTAAATTTTCAAATGGCAATATCGAGAATCTGATAAATTCATATTTTAAATCAAGAAAAGTAGAAGAGATGTACGAAGAAGAGAAAATTTAATTAAAATTAATTTGTTCAAATATCTAATATATAAAGATATAAAAATTCGTTTTTAAATCTCTAAATTTTCAAATGGCAGTATCGAGAAAAATAAATTCATATTTTAAATCAAGAAAAGTAGAAGAGATGTACGAAGAAGAGAAAATTTAATTAAAATTAATTTGTTCAAATATCTAATATATAAAGATATAAAAATTCGTTTTTAAATCTCTAAATTTTCAAATGGCAGTATCGAGAAAAATAAATTCATATTTTAAATCAAGAAAAGTAGAAGAGATGTACGAAGAAGAGAAAATTTAATTAAAATTAATTTGTTCAAATATCTAATATATAAAGATATAAAAATTCGTTTTTAAATCTCTAAATTTTCAAATGGCAGTATCGAGAAAAATAAATTCATATTTTAAATCAAGAAAAGTAGAAGAGATGTACGAAGAAGAGAAAATTTAATTAAAATTAATTTGTTCAAATATCTAATATATAAAGATATAAAAATTCGTTTTTAAATCTCTAAATTTTCAAATGGCAGTATCGAGAAAAATAAATTCATATTTTAAATCAAGAAAAGTAGAAGAGATGTACGAAGAAGAGAAAATTTAATTAAAATTAATTTGTTCAAATATCTAATATATAAAGATATAAAAATTCGTTTTTAAATCTCTAAATTTTCAAATGGCAGTATCGAGAAAAATAAATTCATATTTTAAATCAAGAAAAGTAGAAGAGATGTACGAAGAAGAGAAAATTTAATTAAAATTAATTTGTTCAAATATCTAATATATAAAGATATAAAAATTCGTTTTTAAATCTCTAAATTTTCAAATGGCAGTATCGAGAAAAATAAATTCATATTTTAAATCAAGAAAAGTAGAAGAGATGTACGAAGAAGAGAAAATTTAATTGTTCAGATATCTAATATATAAAGGTATAAAAATTCTAAATTTTTAAAATCTCTAAATTTTCAAATGGCAGTATCGAGAAAAATAAATTCATATTTTAAATCAAGAAAAGATGTAGAAGAGATGTACGAAGAAGAGAAAATTTAATTGTTCAGATATATAATATATAAAGGTATAAAAATTCATTTTTAAATCTCTAAATTTTCAAATGGCAATATCGAGAATCTGATAAATTCATATTTAAATCAAGAAAGTAGAAGAGATGTACGAAGAAGAGAAAATTTAATTAAAATTAATTTGTTCAGATATCTAATATATAAAGATATAAAAATTCGTTTTTAAATCTCTAAATTTTCAAATGGCAGTATCGAGAAAAATAAATTCATATTTTAAATCAAGAAAAGTAGAAGAGATGTACGAAGAAGAGAAAATTTAATTGTTCAGATATCTAATATATAAAGGTATAAAAATTCTAAATTTTTAAAATCTCTAAATTTTCAAATGGCAGTATCGAGAAAAATAAATTCATATTTTAAATCAAGAAAAGTAGAAGAGATGTACGAAGAAGAGAAAATTTAATTGTTCAGATATCTAATATATAAAGGTATAAAAATTCGTTTTTAAATTTCTAAATTATTTCCAAATGGCAATATCTTAAATGGCATATTTTAAATCAAGAAAAGTAGAAGAAATGAAGAAGAGAAAATTTAATTGTTCAGATATCTAATATATAAAGGTATAAAAATTCGTTTTTAAATCTCTAAATTTTCAAATGGCAATATCGAGAAAAGTAAAAGACACGAAGAAGAGAAAATTTAATTGTTCAAATATATAATTTTCTATTTCACGATATCGAATTGAAAGATATATCATTCGAGCAAGAAATCTACATTATTTCGTGAAATATTTCAAACGTATAAAAATTCCATTTTTAAAATCTCTTTTAAAATTATTTCCAAATATCGAGAATCTGATAAATTCGTATTATTAAAAAGAACGGAAGAAAAAGAAAGAACACACAAATTCGTAAAGTAATGCAAATACAGATCCTCCTATTTTCATTCCTACGATCCCCTCCTCGACACAGGAAGGAAACAACGGTTAAACAACGGTGTTTCTTTCTCGATTCCATCACTCACTAACCTTGCCGCGAGCTACGATTTGCGTCGAGGATTTTAATTGACGATAGAAATTGTTTTACCTGGCTGTGAATCCCCTGGGAGAATCGATATGGACGGCTGCCTGAAATAATACGGCCCAGACCAGCCAGTACGTCCGACAAAAGGAGAACCGATGGTTGGGCGATGGATTCTTCTGCAATCATGGAAAAAAAACCAGTCTCGTCTTTCGTCGAATTACACCAGGTTCTTACACAGCGGCAACGTTGCAATAATAAGAAAACGTTCTAGTCTAGCGTCTAGTTATAGCTTTGTCGGGATTCAAAATTTATTTTGTGTAGCATTGTGTATAATTTGTTCGAATCGTAGGATTTACAAAAAGTTGTAACAAAATTGATATGATTATTCTTAATTATTTCTTAATTCCTTTCCATTGGATCTTCTTTATCGACGGAGGCGACTTGTCTGCGATCTCGAATGAGTACCGACCGAACCAAGTGTTTTAGAAATTTCATCTAAAAGGAAAAAAAAAAAAAAAAAAGAAGAAAAAGAAGAGGAAGAAGAGGAAGAAGACGAAGCGTGTTCTTGCGAAGGAAAGGTCGTGGGAAAAGTGTCGGCTCGCGATCTATCTTTTTTCCTCGATGCGACGAGGAAACGTGACACGCGTCGTTTAGATTAATGATTATTGGCGCGACAGGTAATTTAGGATTCTCGTGTTCCTCGTGTTTTTAGAATGGAAAGCATGGGCTAGCTAATAAGAAGCGAAATTAATAGTAATACCAATAGTTTCTGCGCAGCGTCTGAAGGGTTTACCTTCATGTTGAAACCGGATGGTGACAACCATTCGAACAGAAGTATCATTATCGTGGCCGCGTGTATGGCCACGATCCCGACTAACATCCAAGACGCGGTGTCGAATGGTTCTGGAAATGAAACATAAGTATGGTGACACGGATAAAAATTTTTACTCGAGGGAAGAAGGAGAATGGACAATGGATTTTATTTTTACGTTTTCGATTTAATTTGTCGGGGATTATTTACCGAGGAAGGCAGTGGGAGATATTATACCAGTCCTCTTCGCCACCACGATGGCGATACCTGTCTCCATGTACGGCACCGTGAAATCGACCACAGCTTCCCTTTCCGAATTGATCATCAGAGATGTCATCACCATGTCTGTTTTCCGATTCACCAGGTCGGCTATCAAACCGTTCCATTTCCCATTCTGCAAAACAGAATTAATTTCATTTTATTATTATATTTATATTTTATACGAGAAAAGTTATCACCGGAAGTGGAATTCAACGAATCAGGAGGGTTCACCCTCCTCTGATTAAAATTTAAAAATAAATATTTTATTTAAATCGAAAGAAAAGGATTTAACTTGAAATATCGATCGATCTTTTGATTTTTAGTTTTAAATTTTTTACTTGTCGTACAAAGATAATTTTTAACACACGAAAGTCTTCGAAACGATCGAAATCCGAAAGTTTTTTCGTTCGTTGGGAATAAAAATCACCCTCCTCCGATTAAAATTGAATATTTTATTTAAATCGATTTAATATCGAAAAAAAAGGATTTAACTTGAAATATCAATCGATCTTTTGATTTTAAATTTTGTCATACAAAGATAATTTTTTCGGACACACAGAAATCTTCGAAACGATCGAAATCCGAAAGTTTTTTTCGTTCGTTGGGAATAAAAATCATCCTTTTCTGATTAAAATTGAATATTTTATTTAAATCGATTTAATATCGAAAAAAAAGGATTTATTCTTGAAATATCGATCGATCTTTTGATTTTAAATTTTGTCATACAAAGATAATTTTTTCGGACACACGGAAATCTTCGAAACGATCGAAATCTGAAAGTTTTTTTCGTTCGTTGGGAATAAAAATCACCCTCCTCTGATTAAAATTGAATATTTTATTTAAATCGATTTAATATCGAAAAAAAAGGATTTATTCTTGAAATATCGATCGATCTTTTGATTTTAAATTTTGTCATACAAAGATAATTTTTTCGGACACACGGAAATCTTCGAAATGATCGAAATCTGAAAGTTTTTTTCGTTCGTTGGGAATAAAAATCACCCTCCTCTGATTAAAATTGAATATTTTATTTAAATCGATTTAATATCGAAAAAAAAGGATTTATTCTTGAAATATCGATCGATCTTTTGATTTTAATGGTAGTTTTAAATTTTGTTCGTACAAAGATAATTTTTAACACGGAAGTCTTCGAAACGATCGATATCTGAAAATTTTTTCGTTCGTTGGGAATAAAAATGTAATTGGGACAGGAGTCCGCGTTATCAATGAACGTAATTGCAATTCTATCGACGAGGATTAAAAAGGATTCGCGATATCGAATCCGCGGTTCCAATTTCCAAGACGCTTCTTCACCAGTTATTATCGAAACTAATTCCTTTCCATTTCTCCGGATTAAGAATTCGCAATCGATTTCATAAAATCCTACGATTCGCTTATAACGTTCATCAACACAAGTCTAACTTGTGGAACAATAATCTGAAAAAAAAATATATATATATATATATAAACCTTATTTTAATATCGAATTGAATTTACCGATAACGATATTTCTCTCTTCTCTTCAAATTAATTGATCAATTGCATTCGCGCTCTGACGTTTGTCCACTCGATTACAAGAGAGTAAATATAATTAATTACCTCCAACGTGCCCCATTTCCCATCTTCCACTCTGACGAGCTCATAAGTGAACCCGATCTCCTCTGAGAACTTTTGCAGAAGGTCGATGCAGAATCCGCTGCAGCACTGGAAAAAACTCTCGTTCTTCTGGGCCGATTGCGTGTCTATCCTGGAAAAAGAACGTGCGTACTTTGCCTACGTTTTCTTCCTTCGTTCGTTCGTTCGTTCGTTCATTTTCACGGTAAAAAAAATCGGTATCACGAGACGAGGAAGAAGAAGGGGAGGAGAGGGGATGATCGAGAACGTTGAACGATAGAGATAAATATTTTGCGTACAGATGTAAAAATAAATCGCGCGACGTACTCGAATTTAGGAAATTTACACGAGTGGTTTAACTTATGGCCAAGTCGTGAATACGTCTGAATACGTGGTAGTCGGTCCACCCTGGCCACATCTGCTCGTGACAAACTCGATGCGTATTGTTTCCGCGGCTGGTTGAATAACACTCGTTTTGTACAGGGAACGAGCTCCAACCTTTATATTTTTTCCTCAATTGGAACAATCGTGGTCGTCGAATTTTTTGAAAAAAGATCCAAGTTTGAAATCCTTCGAACCGAAATTTAATTCATACTTGGATCATTAATTCGAACACATGATTGTCGAATTTTTTGAAAAAAGATCCAACTTTGAAATCCTTCGAACCGAAATTTAATTCGATCATTAATGTGAATGAAACGATAAATTTTCCCGAATTGAAACACATAGTTGTCGAATTTTTTGAAAAAAGATCCAACTTTGAAATCCTTCGAACCGAAATTTAATTCGATCATTAATGTGAATGAAATGATAAATTTTTCCGAATTGAAACACATAGTTGTCGAATTTTTTGAAAAAAGATCCAACTTTAAAATCTTTCGATCCAAAATTTAATTCGATCATTAATGTGAATGAAACGATAAATTTTCTTGAATCGAAACACATAGTTGTCGAATTTCTTGAAAAAAGATCCAACTTTGAAATCCTTCGAATCGAAATTTAATTTATACTTGGATCATTAATTCGAACACATTGTGTTGAATTTTTTGAAAAAAAAATCCAAAATCCTTCAATTGAAAATTTCGATCATTAATGTGAACACATGGTTGTCGAATTTTTTTGAAAAATAATCCAACTTTAAAATCCTTCGAGCCGAAATTTAATTCATACTTGGATCATTAATTCGAACACATGGTTGTCGAATTTTTTGAAAAAAGATCCAACTTTAAAATCTTTCGATCCAAAATTTAATTCGATCATTAATGTGAATGAAACGATAAATTTTCTTGAATCGAAACACATAGTTGTCGAATTTCTTGAAAAATAATCCAAGTTTAAAATCCTTCGATCCAAAATTTAATTCATACTTCGATCATTAATTCGAACACATAGTTGTCGAATTTTTTGAAAAAAGATCCAACTTTGAAATCCTTCGAATCGAAATTTAATTCATACTTGGATCATTAATTCGAACACATTGTGTTGAATTTTTTGAAAAAAGATCCAAAATCCTTCAATTGAAAATTTCGATCATTAATGTGAACACATGGTTGTCGAATTTTTTTGAAAAATAATCCAACTTTAAAAATCTTCGATCCGAAATTTAATTTATATTTCGATCATTAATTCAAAAACATGGTTGTCGAATTTTTTGAAAAAAGATCCAACTTTAAAAGTCTTCGATCCGAAATTTAATTTATACTTCGATCATTAATCCAAATACATGGTTGTCGAATTTTTTGAAAAAAGATCCAACTTTAAAATCCTTCGATCCAAAATTTAATTCGATCCTTAATGTGAATGAAACGATAAATTTTCTTGAATCGAAACACATAGTTGTCGAATTTCTTAAAAAATAATCCAAGTTTAAAATCCTTCAATCCGAAATTTATACTTCGATCATTAAAGTGAACACATGATTCGAATTTTTTGAAATCCTTCAATCCGAAATTTAATTCATTCACTTCGATCATTAATACGAACGAAACGATAAATACACATTTATTCTCCGTGAAACTTCGATTTAACGAATCGATCAATCTCCTCAATCCTGTATTTAAAAGAAAAAAAAAAAAAAAAGAAATCTACCCGAAAGTTGGAAATTAACCTCTATCAATCTTATAAGAACCATCGTATAAGAAGATTAAACTCGAAGGGATTAAACGGTGGACGATTAAGCGGGAATCATTATTGGCCGTCCTTCAATGTTCTTCCCTCCGCAAACATCGATAACACGCGTCGATCAAAACTTTCCGTTTAAAACGTCGTGAAGAGAAAGAAAATTTCAAGGTTGATTAGGCCCACCTGCCTATCGAAACGTATCAAATTAACATCGTTTACGGTTAATCGTTAAAACGACGTTTGCACGTCGAGCAATTATCGATCAATTAATTAATTAGATTCTCGTGGAATAAATTTTGAATTTGGAGAAACGATAGAGGGCAAACTCGAGGCTCGAGGGATTGTAATTATGCCCCTGGAATTTGCCCCAGCTGACAAGGGAAGCAATAACTGGGCACAACTGTTGTTTGCTTTAGCGTCAACCTGGACCCGTACCGACTTGTATCTCACCGAGTTGCGAACGAGTAATGCAGCATGGAGGGATAATTTGCGCGTGATACGACAAGATGTCATTTCGATGGCATTTCGGATGATTTATCATGGATAAACAGTGAGAAATGTTTATACGTGTTTACGTATGGGAGGTGATCGAATGAGAAAAGCTTGTAATTGGATTACAAACGGGCCAATTAAATTGCGAATTGAAGTTTCGTTGCATGGCGAACGATATCGTATAGCGAGAGAATTTCTTTTTTCGTTGGATTATCTTATAATAATTGGAAACTTTAGTCGAATATTACGAAATATTACGAAATATTACGATGGATTATTGGGATTGAGATGTTACTGATTCGTGAAAAAATGTAAAAGAAACCCTTTGTTGAAGGAATATCCGAATATGAACACGTTAGCCTATATATAAACGATAAGTTTTTTTGTTTGTAAAAAGAAAAGCAATAGGGGAATGTTCTGGCTGATGAGATATTAATTTTACGCATTTTTAACCGATTTTAATCGATTCGTGTATAAATAATCACACGACATGAATTTCAAAACGAAATAATATTAATACGATGAAAATATTTAAAAAGTTAATAAATGTTAATGTGGAAATACACCCTAATTTCCCCAATTTTAACCATTAAATTTCTGGGATACGATATAATATTCACCTTAATTAACACATATACAGGAATTCGTCACACGAATTAATCGTGTAATTCGTTTCGATAAAATTCAATATTTCTCCTATTTTCGTCTCTCTCTCCTCGTCGTTTCGTCTGTTTCAAAATCTCACCGCATGATGGCGCGAGCGAGTACTGGCAACAACCAAAAGTTGAAAAATATCGTGAAAACGATGAATTTTCCCTGAATCGAAAAATATTCACCAACCACGGTTTCTTGCCGACTTTCGTGTTGGCCGACTGCTTACGTAATAAAGTCTTCGTTCGAGTAAAACTCGAATCGACAAGTTAGACGCATTGAAAGGGAAACAAAAGGGGAAGCTTTGTACAAGGGGAAGTTTATACCCGAGTTTCTTACGTATTGGTTATTTTTGTTCACACTCGTAAAAGTTTATGGGGAGTTTCTAGGGTTTCTTTGGAGAATCGATTCCATTTGTTCACGTTTCCTGCGGTGAATCGACATTTTCCTCAAAGAGTCAACCGTACGAACGAGGATACTTTATTGTAACCATTTTTTTGTATGTTCACAAGTTTTCTTGCAACTTTTCAAAGTTTATATAATAATTTACGTTGTAGTAATCTATGTAAGTTGATTTTTCTAATGAAATTTTTTCATTTTTCTAATGATTTTTTTAATGAAATAGTTTATATTAAGTGAAAAATCGTAACAATTCAACAAAGTGAACATATAACATGCGAATTTTAAGATTTAGAGATAAAATATTCTTTCCTCAAGAAAAATATACTCTCATATATATTCAAGAAACTAAGAAAAATTTTTAATATAGATACAGTATACGAGTCGCGTGAATTCTTCTTCTCATTTTATTGGGTTAAAGTAATATAAAGTTTCCAAATACAAGTTTCATCAGAAATTCTCGATTCTGGATCAAAAGATCCCTCTTTCGAACTTTCGTTAGAGAATTTTTTTTCTCGAACAGAAAAAGAAACGTCAAAATTCAAATTCCAAGTTTCATAAAAATATAGCAACAAGTTTAGAGCTAAAGAAATTACGAAGCACGAAATTTTCGTCTCTAAAAAAATATTCCTTCGTTGTAATTCTTTTTTTCTTCGAGTTCAAGTCCCAATGACACTTTTATTCATCTTTCTTTCTGGAATTTTATCCATTAAGATTATTCTAATAATTTTTATTCATCTTTCACCTGGAATTTTATCCCATTAAAATTATTCTAATAATTTTTATTCATCTTTCACCTGGAATTTTATCTCATTAAGATTACTTTAATAATTTTTATTCATCTTTCATTTGGAATTTTATCCCATTAAGATTACTTTAATAATTTTTATCCATCTTTCACCTGGAATTTTATCCCATTAAAATTATTCTAATAATTTTTATTCATCTTTCACCTCGAATTTTATCCTATTAAGATTACTCTAATAATTTTTATCCATCTTTTATTTGGAATTTTATCCCATTAAGATTACTCTAATAATTTTTATTCGTCTTTCACCTGGAATTTTATCCCATTAAGATTATTCTAATAATTTTTATTCATCTTTCACCTGGAATTTTATCTCATTAATATTACTTTAATAATTTTTATTCGTCTTTCATTTGGAATTTTATCCCATTAAGATTACTCTAATAATTTTTATTCATCTTTCACCTGGAATTTTATCCCATTAAGATTACTCTAATAATTTTTAGAGCGTTAAAGAAGAGGAGAAAAAATTGATGCCAATATGATCCTCGCATTTCGACTTGTTCCTCCTTTCTTTCTTTTTTTTTTTTCTCTTTTTTTCACCTCCTACATCCAATTACTCGTTTTGGGCACATCTCTTTCGTTTTAACCGCGTCACACAGAAAGAAGTGTAATTATCTTCCTTTTTTGTTGGCATTCCGCCAACATCGTTTCCCACTTTT